CTACGGAACTATTTATTATGTCAACTTTTTTTTTTCTTTTTGGTACCGGGGATTGAACTCGGGTCCTTGTGCTTGCAAGTCAGGCCACCGAACCACTGAGCTAAATCCCCAGCCCAGGTCAACTTTTTTTTTTCTTTTTGGTACCGGGGATTGAACTCGGGTCCTTGTGCTTGCAAGTCAGGCCACCGAACCACTGAGCTAAATCCCCAGCCCAGGTCAACTTTTTTTTTTCTTTTTGGTACCGGGGATTGAACTCGGGTCCTTGTGCTTGCAAGTCAGGCCACCGAACCACTGAGCTAAATCCCCAGCCCAGGTCAACTTTTTTTTTTCTTTTTGGTACCGGGGATTGAACTCGGGTCCTTGTGCTTGCAAGTCAGGCCACCGAACCACTGAGCTAAATCCCCAGCCCAGGTCAACTTTTTTTTTTCAAGGACTTTAAAACTACAGCTAAAGGAGAAATGTTTTCTACCCTTATTCATTTCAAAATAGACTGAAAGGCTAGACTATAGAAGGCTTAGAAAAAACTTAAAATAAAACAAAAGCCTCTCAGGCTTTCTTTTATGTCATGAAATGTATTCTTTGCTTTCCTGGTTGCTGACCACAATCTGACCAACTGGAATGCATAAGAATTTGAAGTGAAACACCTCCTCCTGTCTTCCTCAGCAAGTCCTTTTTCCTGAATTGGAGTCTTCCCTGCAAGGTCTGTTTAAGAAAAGGGATCTCCATTTGCCAGGAGGCTCATTATGTACAAAGCAGTGGGTCTGTCGGGCCTCCCCAGCGCCTCTAAAACTTTTCTAGCGAGGCAGTGTCCCTGGGAGAGCCTGTGAGCCAGTGAGCAGTGAAGGACCTCAGCTCGCAGGAAGTCGACCTGTGGCCCTGTCTCACACTCTAAGGGACCACGCTGGCCTCCCTTCAGAGCCATGCCCAATCCACATCCCAGGGCTTTCTAATGGCAGACAGGCAGAGTAGTAACAAACGGGCTGCTGATTTAGGTTTCAGAACCCTAGCAGCCCAGAGAGAGGGCTCTGAACTGTCTCCTGTCCCCTCCACAGCTCCCAGTTAACAGCCTTCAACCAAGAAAGCCCATGCATGTGTCATTCTGTGCCCTGGACGATTCCCTCCAGAGACCGATTTTTGCATTTTAATGGGTTCTGTGACAAGGAGCCATTTCACAGGCAACATCCTGAACCCATACCTAGATTTTTAACACCTATTTGTGTGTTGGACTGATTGGCCCAGCCCTAAGACAAGCATGTAATGACATGCCAGTCAGTCCCAAGCCCTTCTTAAGTGTCCCCTCAGATGGGCTGACTTAAAGAAAAGTGACAGAAATGTTCTTTAATAACTATGGTTTATCCATTTCCTTCAGATAGTAAGTGGCACGTTCTCACCTCATTTACAGCTTTTAATCCCAAATGGACATCGCTTTTGAAATATCCTCTCTTTTTTCTTTTCTTTTCTTCCTTTTTTTTTTGTCTTCCTGAGGCTGCCACTTGAAAGTTGAAATCTAGCAAGAATGTAATGGTAGGTGCCAGTGTTCTGAATTACAGGGTGACTGCCTGAGCTGATCCTAAAAAGCAAGTGTCTTTTTTATACCGCATAAAAGGCTGAAATGTTTACATATCAAAAGGCTATAGGCCAATTTCTGTCAAAATTACACATGAAGTTAAGCAGTACAAGCAATTTATTTAAACACTAGTCATTGTAGAAAAATTCAAAACCATATGCTCTTTTAGCAGTTTTTCACAAATGCATTTGACCCATGACTTGGCTAGACATACAAGCTTCATAATTTACTCTAAATTTCAAATCCCCTTGACGTTTAAATAAAAGATCTTCATTAATGAGGTTTACATGAATGAAAACTTTAGAAGCTGATAGCGGTTAGCAAGGGGCTTCGGCTATGTCTGTGCCTTCGCTCTAATTTTCAAATGACTGACTCTGCTAATCATTTCAAGAGAAAGTTTCTCTGAGAACAAATTACGGACATTTGCATTCTGTGATTTGCAAAAGTTACAGCGCAGTCACGTTGGAACAAACGTTGGTAAATAACCCAGCTGAAAGCGGGTTTCTGCAACCCTGGAAAAACCGAAGCTCTCTTCCCCCCATTTTCTGAGGCCTGCAGAATACGTCACTTTTTTCTGACACCCCTTTTCCCCCAGGGTTATATTGAGCGTTCCTAACACTTTGATTAGTTTGTCCTGAGAGCCTGTGGTGCTGTTATGTAGAAAGCTGGAAAACATAACAAAACCCAGCTCCTAAGTATCCTGGGTTAGGCTAAAAGCGGGACCCAGCACTTGTGGTTCTGCCCTTTCATGGGGCAGAATTTGCACCCCTTGCTCAATCCCAGGATGCTAGTTTTATTTTTCCTTTTTCTGGAAGCACAAACACAAAGCACAAAATCCAGTCTGCACGGTATGAAAACTGTCCGGAGGTGCCCAGGGCTGCCTGGATCTGCCTGGGTCTGGGCTTTGTACCCAATTTCTCAGACTCCCTTTGGGCAGCCCGGAGGGCTCGTACCTTTGAAAAGGGCGCATCAGGTTTCTGCATGATACGAAAAACACGATTATAAATTCTGTCCTGTGACCAAGCAAGACACTGAACGGATTAAGAAACGATAAGAAGTTAGGGCCGCAGCAATGCATTTTCTTTTTCCTTTTCGTATCTCTGGGGCTGGGGTGTAAAGAGTGTGGGGTCAACTGCTTGCTCTAAGATGAAGATATCTCGGGGCAAGAGGAGACAACCCACGCGCACATTTGGGCGCTCTGTTTCACATCAGAGGAGCAATTTAATCTACGCTCTTCGCATCAATTGAGCGATGACAAGCGCACAGCGCGGACGCGCCTTCCCGAGATGTGGACCCGCAAACACGCCTTATGCATGCGGAACCCACTGATCTCTTCTTTAATATCCTAAAAATGAGGGCTATTACCGAGAGAGTGACTCCTCAACAAACACATTTTCATAGACTTCTTCGCGGTGATTGCTTTGTGTGAAATCGTGTTTGGGTGATAATAGGGAAAATCAGCAGCGTGTTTACCGCGTTTCTAACCGAGCACTGCAGCCGCCTCCGGACGCTCCAGGTCCTCTCATGCTGAGCTGTGCGTGCGGGGCCGACAAACAATCGCTTAGCAACCCGAGGGGGACAATTTGCTTGCGTCGCATTTGTTATTCCAATTGCGCCCGGGAGAGATTGTTTAGCGCGCACTTCGGACACTTGTGGGTTTCCGCCCCGCTGAGGAAGCCGAGCGGGGCGCTGAAACCCCGACTGCTACCCGGGGCGCCCTGCATCCCCAAGACAAAATGTGGAGACCACAGATCAAGGATGCAGCGGTGGGGGAGGTCCCGCCACACAGGGGATGAGACCCCCAGAGCTGATTGGGCAAGAAAAGTAGAGTGTGACTCCAGATCCCGTGACCCCATTCTCGAAAGTTCCCCCGGCGGCGGAGGAAAGAGCCTGCAGACTTCCTTTTTATCTAGGACCTAGCTTGTCCACAGACCTCGCCCTTGGCTGTCAGAAGAGGTGGGGACCCCACACTTCCTCTTCCTAAAGAAAAGGACAAGAAAAAGCCCCCAGGTCCGTCCTCAGTCTATCTTGGCCTACAGGTGACAGCCACCCTGGTTCAATATTAGGGCTGTAAGGGACCCCCGATGAAGGCTAGACTTGGTTAGATCAATTCAAACCCTGAAACCCAGCCAGGTAGCAGAGTCTGTAATCCCAGCACTCTGGAAAGCTGGGGCAGGAGGATCGCAAGTTAGAGCCCAACCTATGGTGACTTAGGGAGACCCCCTTTCAAAAAATAAAAACGAGGCTAGGATGTAGCTCAATGAGATGCTCATTTGCCAAAACTAAATATATATAAATAAAATCCCGAGGCCGCCAAATTTGCCAGGTGGCTCTGCTCAGTACTCAGCTCCAACACTCACACTCCTGTACAGCGCTCCTCCCCTCCTGGGTCCAGAGTATACCGAGATGCCTTTCGGATGGCTATGGCTTTCCTAAACCTGATAGTGAGGAGCGATGTACCAAGGGGAGGAGACACAGAGCCCTGGGCCAGAGAGGATGTTTTATACTTTTAAAAACTTGCGGGCCCCCTTTTGGGTCCAGGGCTGTGGATGCAGGCCAGTGCTGCTCTACAAACCCTTTGCAAAATGGGAGAGATGAGAATCGGCCCCTAACATCCTACAGCACTTTGTCTGTTAGGCTGAGACTCTGGCAAAAGTCTTGCAAGATACACTCCCAAGCACACCTAGCCACCAACACAAAAGCAGTCGAAGGCAGAACTAGAGTTCCGGCTCTCTCACATCACTTGCCGACTTGAAGCTGGGAAGGGCCAGTGGGCAGTATGTGAGCCTGGAAGCTGCCATCTGCTAAGCGTCTGTGAACAGAAAAAGTGCTTCCCTCCCCAGTCAGCCACTTTTGCCACAGACCTGGCCTCTTTGAAGGAGAGGGTTACCCTCCCTGAGTGATTTTTATTGTTTCAAAAAATCCACTGCCTTTCCAAACGGAGAAGACTCATCCTAGCTGGTCCTAACCTCTCTCTAACCACCCAGAGTATGCGTCTCCCAGGCTAGGAGTGAGGAGTGGGTGGGCCTGGGGATACAGAGGTCAAAACTGAGGCCTTGGAGGAGAAACTTGGCGCTGCCCAGCAGGAACTGGTGGCTCAGGTACAGCAATTGACAAGTGCCCCCCCCCCAGCGCTGGGGCGGACACAGCACCCACAGCCTGCTTCAGTGACTTCAGAAAACTTTGGGATCTGGGGGTGGGGGTCCTGCTTTATTGCCAGAGAGAAATCAGAAGCACCAGGCAGGAGTTGAAGGCAGCCCTTCCTGGGGGGACCGAGGTGTCTCCCACCGCAGCCCTGGCCAGTCTCTCCTCGGTCTGGTACTGAGTGCTTCCTCTGGAGTGGCCAGAGCAGCCCGCACAAGGACGGCTGTGACACCTCGGGGGCTGCTTTAGCCAGAGCAGCCTGTTGCCTACCTGCTCCAGGGTGCGCGGCGGCCTTGGCGCAGTGCTGGGTTCGCTGCCCACCGGTTGCACAGCAAGAAGGATCCTGCAAATCTCGGCGGCTGCCTGCGGGGAGCCCGGCTGCCTTTGCCCGGCCGGGGAGCCCAGCCTGGGTCTGCCAGCGGGAAGGGCAGCCCAAGTGAGCGGGCTGCCAAGGAACAAGTAGGTCAGATGAAAAGGAAATGCGACAACTCGGTTGCTGGAGAAGGAGCTAGAGGAGCCCAAACCAGGGCTCCAATCCGGATTGAAAGCCGAAAAATTTGGGGGAGACGCCCCCCGCCCCCGTTCGCAAAAATAATTAGAAAGAAGAGGCCCCCAAACCTACCGACACTCAGGGTGCTACTCAGGTGGTGAATTTTAAATAGTGGCTGAACTTGGTCTTCGCTGTGTTACTAGGATCCCCTAAGGTAGGGATTGTACGGTCGTTTCCAGACCTTAGGTGTCTGAAAAAGACAAAACAAAAACCAAAACAAACAGAAAGACAAAATGTTTAAGAAACACGCGACACGTCTCTTCTTTCGTCGTTTTTGCCTTTACAAACGCTGGCTTTTACAAAAACAAAAGGTTTAGGGCAAGGGGGTTTAAACTGTTCCATCGGGAGAGAACTACCAGGATTTTTTTTTTTTTTTTTTTTTAAGGTGAAATCGGGCGGTGAGGGCGCTGGGGCCGGGAGGAGGCGCAGAATTTTCCATCCGACTAGAAGGAAAACGTAACCACTCACATTTCCTAAAACAAAACAAATTCCTAAAGTTGGAGAAAAGTAGTCCCAAAGTAAAATCGGCCACAATGCATTTGAGCTACAGGCAGAGGAAATCGCACCCAATAATAGGGCCCAATCTGAGAAAAGCGGGTGGGGGCGGAGAGGTCGGCGGTGGGAGTTGTTAATGCGGCCGCACAATAGAATTAATGAGATTAACCGGGGCAATTAGGCCGCCCGCCCAGCTCCGCCGGCCCGCGGCGGGGCCGCCCAATGGAAAAGATTAGGTTAATTTCATTAATTCTCAATCCACAATCTCTTTTCAGGCCCTGGAACCCCCTCTCCTTGACACTTCTCCCCCCCTCCCCTCGAAACCTCCCCCCACCCAAAGGAAAAGAAAGGGCCAAATCTGGTTCTGTTTGTCATCTGCATATTACCAGGAACTAAATCCAGGATGACGTCGACTCGGTATAAAACCAACTAGAGGTTCAGCTGGTCCGAGCTGCGTCCTCCCCC